AGGAATGTAATTGTAATTGTAATGTAATTGCATTTACCCAGCTCTGGCCTTCATTTAATTTACGAGATAATCAACATCACTCTTTTGGCAGTCAGATCTGTATCTGCAAAGAAAACAACTCGCAAACTAATTGAGTTTACGCCTTGGCAGTAGACCTACGACTCTTTCGTCGGCGGATCAGTCCGTTTATTAATAGCGATTTAATATGGTTGTCCCTCATCGCTGAAGTGATAAATATTCCAACAGCCCTACCATTCGAAGGCAGAAAAGAAGACAGATTTCCGGATTTTCAAATAATGGCAGTGAAATATAGGCAAAAAATCGCAATAGGCATCTTGGAAGGTGACTGGAGTAAAGTTATATTTGTAGTGTGGCAATTTTTAATTTGTGTACATCTACGCTTCTAAGAGAAGCAGAATAACAAGGCTTCGAAACTAGAGCTATTTTTTAAAATCGATTAACAGCTTTTTGTAGGTTGATAGTCGAATAGATTTTATTCATGGTAGTATAGTTCGACTAACTGCTAACCATCGAGTAGTATTTTCATACCACTAATCGATATTTTTCGAATGTGACAGTTGTTCACAATAAAATTATTGGCACATATTCATAGCCAAAATAACGTCGACTCTAAAGTTAGTAGCAACTTTTTGACATAATTTTCAATCGAATATCCTAGTATTAAAAAAGCTGCACCTAACCGTTAATTCGTACTTATCTAGGGAATAAATTGCAGTTGATCTGGATTAAGACCAAGAGTGAATTCCCAAAATTAATTTGGATCAAGGAAATTTTCAATGACAACACTGACCAAAACCAAGAGAATGTAGAATACAGAGAATTTGCAAACCTTGCATGGACATCTATCTTGCCGTCTGTAATGTAGTCACCATACTAATTCAGATAGGATTCCATTTTAAATTGAATTGAGAATTTATTTGAATTAGTATGGCGACTTCACCACCGACAATAACCAGGTTCGATGCTCGGTTCAAGCGACTGCACAAAAAATTATGTTATGTTAATTTTATTTGTTTCTATTTTATTTTAATTTTTCTTTGTTTTATTTTATTTCATATTATTTACTTTATAATAAGTGATACAAATTTATAATTGAATTGAATAAAAAAAAATGAAAATTATACTGAGGACTCGCATCCGCATTACTGTCGTCTGTCAGGGTACAATTTTGATCAAATCACCCGCGCCGTTAATCCGGATCAGCGTTGCCGTTCGACTATGAATATGCCACATTCTTATAGGCGCAGTTGGGTTTTGTCAATAAACATAGTCAGGGCTATCACTAAATCCATCTAGTCCGAATTTTCGTGAAATCTACGAAAATTCTATCTATAAATCCCAATAGCTACGATTGTAGCATATACTTTGAATGCGTGAGTTCGTAGCAATTCGAATTGCGAGATTTCACGAAAATCGGACTACGATGGATTCAGCGACTGCGCCACTGAAGTGAAACTTCTTTTTCCTATTACCCGTATAGCTCACCATATTGTAGCAATATTTTTCTGCATATTAATAAAAAATCATATTTATCTTAATCTAAATATCAATCTCAATCTTAATCGTAAATTAAATTATAATAGTCTCAATATCAATATTCATCTTAACCTTATTCCCAGTCTTAATTTTAATCTTAATCTTAAACTCAATATTTAACTTAATCTCAATCCATATCTTAATCTCAATCCATATCTTAATCTTAACCTCAATCCTAATCTTAACCTTAACCTCAATCTTAACTTAACTCTTTAAATGAATCTTAATTCTAATCTTATTCTTAATCTAATTCTGAATCCCAATATCAATCATAACCTCAACCGCAATCTGAATCTGAATCTTAATATCAATCTTTATCTCAAAACTAATCTCAACCGCAATTTGAAACTTAACCGAAATCTTAAAATTAATGTAAATCTTAGTAAACCACCCCCGCCAGCCCCTCCCTTCTACTGACGCTTTTTCTGTTCATTGCAGTTTGAAATTAGAGTTCAACGATTGTGTCACTTTTTCGTTACATCGATGTTTGCATTTACTCCGAAATGAACGCAAAAGAAGTTTCATTTCAAAAATATAGAAAGCCAATGTTTATTGAAAGAAACCCACTGATCGAAAACTGACGGATTAGTCGACTGGTTGTTTGTGAGCGGTTAGAAAAAGATGGGTAAGTCGATTATGCGAATTCGACAATTTTTGGTAATCGTCTAACCGATTAATCGACTAGTCGATTAACAAGAGCTCTACTGGAAACTCTGGCCTGTGCAGATAAGAAAAAAAGGTGTACAAAATTGATTCAAAAGATCAGAAATAAGGGCCTACGGTGATGGTATTCCTATGAAGATTGCACAAGGCAGAAACCAGTTTGGTCTACAAACCGAAATTGAAGAGGGATAACGGTAAATCGTTCCACAATACATGCTTTCCAGAATTCCACTACTAGCATCGCCATAAAAATATAATATACATACTTAGTCTTTTTTCAAACTTACCTCCAAAGACGTCTTTTTCAAATACCCATCAAGTGATGTTGTATATAGCACTTTCTTTTCGCAGCACAAATAGGAATGTGTAATATTTTCACTGTGTTTGGCGAATTCTTTTTCCATTTTGAGTGTCTTGGCGCAAAACTGATACAAGCGACCATCTTCACCAGTGGCTACTAACCAACGCTCGTATAAATGTAGCTGTGTCATTGGACTTCTAACATCAATAGTAGAGCAGGGCATATCTGCTAAATTGAATGGTGGTCTACATCACTCACAGTCTGTTCCATATCTGAAACGATTGGACTCGGAAGCGTTCGCGCGTAGCTGCACCAACTGCAGGAGTCTTTTGAGTAGCTGTGGGTGTTGGCATTTGGACCGTTTCAGTTGGTAATTTTGATTTATTAGCTCGCTTTTTAGCAGCTGCGGCACCACCACGCTTACGTGGACCGCGTTTTCGCTTAGCATTTGAGCCAATATTATCGTTAGCTTTACGCTTACGCTGATTTGCGTTTGTGCTCTGCATAGTACGCGCGTTGCCATTTGGGAGCTCTTGTTGAGATGGCTGTGCGTCTAAGTGTGGCGCTGTCGACGCGCCTGGTGGCGACAAAGATGATGTTCTAGCTGCGGCTGCAGCGGCGGCGGCTTCGCGTTTCGGCAGTTCACTGGCCGCTGCTGTCATGGCGGTATTAAGCAAGAAGAATTTCTCATTTTGCAATTGCATTGTTTGCATATCCACTTCCATTTTGTCCCTTTGCAATTTGAGTATCATCTCTTCGATGAACATTTTACGTTTATGCAATTCCATTAACTTCATATCGTATTCACGTAGATTATTCACTACGAATTCGTCCTAAGATATTACGCTGCCGCAATGCTTCTAAATCTACATTGGGAAATAGTGTGCTAGAGATCAAAGATGGCACGCTGGGCATGCCAAAAAGCCCGTTAATACTGTGCTCAAATCCCGTTAAAAGATTTGACGCGCCACTACCACTGAGCTTGTTATCAAGTAATGAGCGATTAGCGGGTGGAGAATGCAGGCCTATGCTGCTGCTCGACTCATTTAACGGCGCGGCAGTGTTGGCGCTTTCGAAAATGCTATTGTGTAATTGTTGTTCATACGCTGTTGCAATACCTTCGGCGTTGGTGGTGGTGATTGTGGTGCTGGTAGTAGTCGGCAGCTGCTGACGTGTTGTCGCACTCGCCAACGATTTGCCATTAGAATCTTCTTGATTAGTGGTGTTGCTCATTTCATGTAAATTGTTGCGCGTTTCAGCGGCTGTATCTGCGCTTGTTTTACGCCTCCCACCACCAGCCGCCGCCGCCGCCTCATCTGCGGTTTTTGCATTGCCAGCACTTTTCCTTCTTACCCCATCTGACGCGCTTGTGTTCATTAATGCCTGGCTATTCACACTTTGATGTGGATTTTTCGTTGGTGATGGCACTGGTGTTCGTTGTGATTGCACGTAATTTTTTCCAACATCATTTTTTTCTGCTGCATTGGCACTTTTCTTATTGCTGCTGCCGCTGCCGCTGCCGCTGCGACTACGACTGCTGCTGCTGCTGCCTTTAACTGCTTGTTGTTTGGAAATTCCATTAGCTTTATCGCCGCCTGCGTCATACCGTCGGCTCATATCTTCTGCTTGTGCCCTGCTTGATTGCGGCTTGTCAGGACTACTTTCGGTCTCCTTTCTTGTTCTGTTACTGCCACGCTCTCTTTTTGCTGCCTCTTTCTGCTTGTTGAAAACACTGACGATTTCACGCATAAGAAACTCCAAAGCAACAGTGCGATCCTCTGATTTTAAATTGGATTGTATTTTCGCAATTTCAGGTTTAGTGAATTTTCGCGTATTATATTCGCTGGTACAGATGCAGGAGATGAAATGTAGGCGCGTATATGTGGAGTTCGAAAATTTATTGCGGTAACGAGCTTTCAAACTCTCGCTGATGCTGGGCAATATGAGCTTCTCAAAGCTTTCGACAACATTTTGCGCATCTACACGCAGTTTTAGTCGTCGACGTTTTACCGATGATGAAACACTTCTGGCTGAAGTCTCAGATTCACTATCGGAACTGCTACTCGAGCTGGAGCTGGAAGAAGACGTACTGCTCGAAGAGGATGACGATTCGACCAGTATTACATCTTTGAGCGTCTTTTTGCGACTATGTTTCCGCGACGTCGAACTTTGGTGCTTCTTTGTAAGTTTTTCCGTTGGCTTTTTTTCGCCTTCAGCCGCCGTAGGCGCTTTAACTGTTTCCGTTAGCTTTGGATCTTTTTGGTCTTCGATTACCGCCTGCTCGTTGTGGCAACTATGTGTTGGTTGTGGTGCTGTTTGTCCTACTTCATTTTGCATTGTTTGTGCGACTTCATTTTGCATTGTTTGTCCCACTTCATTTTGTGTTGTTGTCTCTTTTGCAGCGTCTTTTTTCGCATTATCAGCAACACTTTCTACTACTGGCTGCACTGCTGTTGACGTCGTCTCCACAAGACTTTCCTGTAGTGGTGGCGAGGCATTTATTGCCGTAACATTCCCCCCTTCGCCTACAGCGATTTCGACTACATTTGCGGCGCTTTCGTCCAGTGGATTATCTGATGGCTGCGCGTCTTTTTTATAAAATATCTCTATGCCAAAAGCTTTACGTATCTCCTCCAATACTATATCTGGTATACATATAGCATCGACAATATCATCGGGCACAAAGTTTACATCCTCTGAATCCTTTGCCGCTTCCAGATTCATTGACTTCAACTGCTTGCGTATCTCTTCGCGCAAACGTTTGCGTGCCTGCGCTTTTAACGCCTCATCGAAGCGTGTTCCACTGTTGTTTATTACCTGCTTGATGCCGAACTTATCCATACCGGCAACCTTTTCAATCAGATTTTCTGTGGTACCACTGGAGTTGCTACAAGTCGAAATTTGTCGACGTCTCTTCACAAGATTAGGTCGGCAGACGCGTTTGGTTGGTGTACTCGTAGCTATTACGGGTGCAGGCGCATCTTCGAGCTCGGCTACACTTGAGTCATCCGTTAATTCGATGAGTTCGTTTCGTATAAGTCGTGATAAGGGAATTATAGAGATTCGTGGCTTATCACTGGGTTCTTTAATGGGTGAAACTTTGCATTCAAGGTTGGAGATCTCTTCATCAATACCTTCCCGGTTCTCAGATGAGTCTGATGTGTTTAAATCGATTTCAATGCATGGAATTTCAGGCACCGGAGCTGCGATAATTTCCTCGGCCTCTATGCGAACATTTACTGTATTTATAGCTGACTCATTCGTTTCGATTTGTAAGCTCTTGGAGCTTCCGCTAACTGCACTTATATTTATCACTACGTCACCTTCTTTTTCAATATCAGTCTTATTTTCTTTCGTCGATTGCTTTACGTCAATAGGTTTTTTTTCAGTGTTTTTCGTTACTTTAGTCTTTGAACTGATGGTCGGTTCTTTATCTTTACTTCCTTTGGAAACGTCTCTACTTTTCGCTTGACAGCTTTCTTTTGCAGTTTTTGGTTTTACGGCGAGTATCTTTTTATTAACTTTGTCACTTTGTTTTGCACACACTACGGGTGGTAACTTCAGTGAATTATTTTCTGTGGATTCTGTACTGACTTGGTCTGTACGAGTTTCTACCGTTAAACTATTTTCTCTACTCTTCGTCACATTTTCTGATGTTGATTTCAATTCGTTAGTTTTTGTATTAACTTCACTGCTCTCAGCTACCGCAATTTTATCTTTATCTTTCCCTAAGTTGCTGCCACTTGGATTTTTCCTTGAAATCTCACTGCCTGTTTTAGGGGAGTTTTTTGCCTTGGCACTACTGGGTGTTACTTTGCTGGCATTTTTTGAATCTTTTTTAGGCGGTCTCTTTCTCGGTGAAGTTCTTACTTCGTTTAGTTTACGAATTTGCGTTGGTATTACATTATCTGATTTTTTCTTATCCTTTTCGGTAGCAGTGTTCTGAGTAGAGTTTTTAACACCTACATTTTCAACAATTTTTGATTCTTCTGTAACCGTAACTCGATTACTAGCAGCTGGTGTAGATTCTGATCTTCTTTCGGTTTTTGCGGTTTCTGTTGTATTCGTAATATTTTGAGAACTCAGTGATTTTCTATCAGATTCATTACTGTATGGTGGTACTGAATTATCCCTTCTCCTACCTGTCTCATTTTTTTCATACTTTGAATTAGTATTGCAGTTATTGGAATTATTATTATACATAGAATTATTTATCCAACGACTGTTATTTCTATTATTCGGTCCATTTTTATATCTATTTAAGTTCCATTGTGATCGGTAGTAAGGTGGATCAGACCGTTGCGAAAAAATAATATTTGGTCGATGATATGGCTCCGATGGGTTCATATACTGAAAGTTGTTTTATAAAATTTCGTTAGAGAATGGCGTATGTATTTTTAGAAGATCGCAGCAAGCTTAGAGGAAAATGTTGCTTAATTATTATAATTACCTTATTTCGCGGGCGGTCTCCTGTGTAATCTCTGTGCGATGGACCATAATAATTATATCGTCGGCTGTAAATGGAAAAAAATATATATATATAAAACATTAAATTTACAGTGGTGGTCACATAAATAGGGACACTACTGCTCTTTTAAGTTTTAACCATTTATTTGACGTTGTTACGCATTTTGTTCCGTACAAAGTATATGTTCGGACATTTTTTATACGGAGAAAATGAGCAGCACCGTCAGCAAAAAAAAAATTTTCAAAAATCAACGCGAATTCTTAGCCGATTAAAATCTGCACAATTTTTGAATGGGCTATAATAAAGCATCCCCGAATTTTTTCTCGCTTTACCGATTAAAAGGTATATGTCCATACTAGTTTTGCACTTTCTCTGTATTCTACGCTCTCTGAGTTTTGGTCAATGTTGTCATCGAATATTCCCTTGATCCGAGTTAAGTATGGGAATTAACTCTAGGACTTAATCCGGATTAAGTGCAGTTAATTCTCAAGATAACTCTGAATTAACGAGTTGATCCGGATCAACGCTGCCGTCTGTTTAAGCCTTTGAAACTTAAGCGGGTTTCACTGTATCATTAAAAATAGGACGTTCTCTTTACTCCAGAGCGAATCGTTGCTATTTAAATTTTCAACAACAGGCTTTTATACATGCAGCTAATAAGAGCCTGGCAAATGTTAGTAAATTTTTACAGTATTTACTTATGTATGTATGTAAAACGCCCTGTGATTTGTTTTCATATTTTTGTATTTACCCCTCCAGCCATTAATTTGCGTTCACCTAAATTAAATCTTGTGAGAAAAAAAATTCTACTGCCAACAAAAAGCGCATTACGTTTCTTCCCATCAAAACAACAAAAGAATAATTCATGTAATTTCGTAACGTGCTACAAATTCTATAAATTTCGACCACTACTTCTCCTCGCTGGCACCTACACACTTTTGGCGAGTGAAGGTAAGAAAACGTATAGAAACAAAGAGTCGCGGATAAACTTAACAAATTTAAAATTTATAACCTTGAGAAGAAGTCTGTGCAATATGCTAGCAAGAAATTTGGCTTGCTGAAGTTGGAGTACGTGAGAAAGTAAAATAAAAAAGAATGTCTCCTTACAAAAGCAAATTTTTCCGCGTACACAACCACAAATCTCGTTCATTTGCACCTTTCTGAACTAATTAAAAATTTCGCTGTGAATACATAATTTGACTGCAACAAGACTTTGACTTATGGTCGGAACATTGAAAGGATTTGCAAGGTGATTTAAATACTTACAAATTTATGTACATATGTACATTAGGGTTATGATTTTTTTACGCTTTTTTTAAATTTTGATTTGCCTGTGCTTGCATTTAATGAACTTTTGTCCATATATTACTTTTTTGGCGATAGTTTTGTTGGTTCGTGAAAATACCTCCCGCGCACACTATCTTTTCATTTACAAGGCTGTTGCATGGCAAAGCCCCATACCTAGTATAAAAATTCGACCGAAATTCCTTTTTGCCTACGAAGTTTTGATTTAAAAACGATGTGTATCAGCACTAAATCCACAAATCTATTTTACTTTAATAAAACCATAAAACTTTTGAGAAGAAAAACATGTTTGAATATTAATTTTCTCCACTTAGAAACTGATAATAAATTCTGCTATGTGCGAGAGTTTTTTTTTATAATTTATCAAAATTGTTGTTATTTTTTGGAAATGTATACAAAAGTTCATCGTTTGCCACCACAGGCATTTAAATCTAAAAAAAATCATAACCCTAATGTACACAGTATGTACTTACATGTAGACGTGTGAAAGTGAACTTTATATTGTAAGAACTAAATGTGATTTGTAAAAATTACTGCTGAGGAGTGGTAAGAATTCACGAGAGAAAACTTCCGCGCGCCTTTGTAGGGATACTTGAACGAGGCGAAGTTTCATTTCATCAATTATTGAAGTTGAATTTGTAATGCGTAAATTCGTTAGTTTCGGGGTTTTATTGATTTCTAAACATTCGTAAAAATCGTATGGCGTTCCGTATTTCCACAGATTCAGTATACATACACTGACGGCAGAAATAATAGACTCGTCGTACTTTGAAGAGTTTTGGCTATATTTCTTAATTTATTTATGTTTAATATTTTTTTTTATAAAAGCTCAGGTAGTTATTCAAAAAACATCATATAAACCCGCTTTCCAAACTTTGAACAAAAATTATAAAACAACAAAACAAATTTTCACCAAATTTTCAAACTTGTAGCCCATTCAAATTTAGTATAATAATGTGTGAGTTTTAAGTGGCTAGAAAATACCGTTGATTTTTGACAATTTTTTTGTTGACGATACTAAGCTTTCTCTTCCATATAAAAAAATTGTCGATCACACTTTGTATGGGAAAAAATGCGTGACACCGTCAGCAAAAAAAAAAATTCTTAAAAACCAACGGTATTTTGTAGCCAAATGAAACTTGCACTTTATTACACAAAACTGCATACCAAAGATTTTTCTAAAAATTCTGAATAAACAGTTTGAACATTTGTCGAATTTTTATAATTTTTATACAAAGTTTGAAGAAATGCGCTTCGTCGGAATTGTTGAGGAACATCAATACTAGGGTGGGGCGGTAACACAAAATTTTGCGTTTCGAAATTTTAATAGCGGGGAATCGTTGGCTATCGTCGTCAATAGAATGATTCCATTTATTTCTAGATCGGTTAATATTTCTGTCACCCTTTTTGAAAGTAATATTGAGTTATTTGTAAATTCATAACAAATAACGTAATTTATCAAAATCATTTTTGGAAAAATTCTAGGTATGCCGTTTTGTGGGCCATTCAATTTTAGAACAATAAATTGCAAGTAAGACTTACCTTTGATTTTTGACCATTTACGGCGTAAATTTTACGCTGTTGCTTATTTTCTCCATATAAAAAGAATCTCGAATATACTTTGTATAGAACAATATGCGTAACACCATAAACAACAAAAATAAAAAAAAAAAAATCTGCGGTATTTGGTAGCCACTTTAAACATGTACTTTATTATACTAAATTCAATGGCCTAAAAAACTGCATACCTAGAATTATTTGTTTAGAATTTAGAAAAATCGCAAATTTTTTTTCTTTCCGCTCCAACCTAATCACTACTATATATGTAACTCTTTATAGCTACGGATTTTTGCTATACTGATAAAAATTTACGATTATAACTTGAATTGAGGACCACGATAGTGAAATATTAAGGCTGAGGTTAGTCAGGATAAGGTAAGCGAGTTCTTGGAATTGAACAAATTTGCAACAAGGGTTCTAGGGCTATTGAACGGATTCTTTCACAATGACGTATAACAACAACAACTCTGCCACAACCTACAGCATGAATAGATATACATATTAGGACGGGTCGAGAAACACAAAATGTTTGATACGAAAATTGTATAGGTTTTAAAAGGTACTAATTAATACCTTACTCTAGAACAAATGAAAATAAGAGTGGGAATATCGATTTTTAAAATTTTTACAACGACTTCTATCATAAAATCAATAAATCATAAAAAAATAAATAGGGCAAATTAAAAGTAAGTAACATCAATATTTTAATCAATTAATATATTAAGAAGGAATTAAAGATTAATTGATAAAAATATTGAATGTCACTTACTTTTAATTTGCCCAATTAATTTTTTATGATTTTATGGGGGGAAATAAATTCCGGATTTGATCTACACAAGTCGTTGGAAAAATTTGAAAAATTGGTATTCCCACTCTTATTTTCAATTTTTTCGCAGAGAAACCGGATTTATTTTCTTGAATAAGAGATTAAAATAGCACCTTTCAAGACCTATACAACTTTCGTATTAAACATTTTGCTTTTTTCGACCCGTCCTAATACATAGATCTTTCCATTTGTGCCTTGAAAGCATCTAACGATTGGATCAATATCTTAATGAATTAAAACACTATGCTGAACACTTGCATTGTTATTGTTACTACAACCTTTATTTCGAGCATTGCTAGCATACTAAAAAGCATTTATTTTTAATTTTGTCTTTTATTTTGGTGTCATTTCTGGTAAGCCAATGCACATGTATNTGAATTAAAACACTATGCTGAACACTTGCATTGTTATTGTTACTACAACCATTATTTCGAGCATTGCTAGCATACTAAAAAGCATTTATTTTTAATTTTGTCTTTTATTTTGGTGTCATTTGTGGTAAGCAAATGCACATGTATGTATATATTTAGCTTTGTATGCCAATCCGAAATTAATAGTTTATTTAAAAAATTGGGTAGTTTCGTATCGGGGATGTAGCTCAGATGGTAGAGCGCTCGCTTAGCATGTGAGAGGTACGGGGATCGATGCCCCGCATCTCCAGGACGTACTTTTTTTTTGTTTTTTTACATATTGTTTTAATATTTTTATTAGTTGCTAATTATAGAAAAAGTGCACTCTGAGGTGTAATAATAACCCTGTGAAAAGTGAATTTTGGATTTTTTGTTTTTTTACATCCTTTTGTAATTCAGGTGACAGNATTAGTTGCTAATTATAGAAAAAGTGCACTCTGAGGTGTAATAATAACCCTGTGAAAAGTGAATTTTGGATTTTTTGTTTTTTACGTCCTTTTGTAATTCAGGTGACAGTGTGGGTTATGAATTTTTTCATTTCAGGCGACGAGATGTACGTACGATATATGTAAGTACACTGGAAAATTTATATAAAGTTGATTTTGTATGGCTTTGTTTAAAGAAAATTATTTGAATCATGTTATCCATGGTGCACACTGCTTGCAAGATAAAAGCTATGGCCTAAACTACAGTGGCGCCTTTGGGCAAGTGATTTTAACCTAAATGGATAGGAAATACTGCAATATATATATATATATATATATATATATATATATATATATGAAAAAATTAGATCGCTCATCTCGAACTAAATATTTCCATAATACATACATATGTATACACTGAGCCAAAAGCACAATAGTTTTTCAACCAAGATATTGTTTTAATATTTCCATGGCAAATACACCGATTGTAATACATGTAATTGAAGTTTAACAGTTCAAA